CTGTATATTTGCAAAGAAGAATGTTATCGGACTGGTGGTATTGTTGGTACTGGGGGGGATTTTTTTTCCGGCATTAGTATCTGTATCTGTTGTTTGGAGTGGAGGCCATCGACTGTGGTTCCACTCCAGGAATGACTGGATTTGGTGTACGATTTCTGCCATTTCCTGCCAGTTTTTTTTCCTTCCTGGCACTAAAAAACCTCTCTCTCTTGAGTGGCTGTGGCTACCCAGGTTTTCCCATGGCCTGGATGTTTTGTATCTTTTTGTCCCCTTTAGATGGTATGCCTGGCAATTTAAGTTATAGCACAGTCTTTCCTGTACTGAAGAGGTACACATTCAGGGTGAAAAAGCTTACAGGAAGGGAGTTTGCATTTTCCTGTTGTCATATGGGCATGGCATTTCTAGGGTGGTCATAGTTGCACGTCCCATCTGTTTTTTTCCAGATTTCCCATGCCAGCAGATACCGAGTGCATAGTATGTGCACAGGCTTGTTTCCGTTTGCCTTGGGTTTCTGTGACTGTATTCCCTGTTGGTGCATGTTTCCCTGTCTTACTTCTATCCTCCCTAGCACCAACAATGGAGCTCCCACCATTTGTTTTTGTAATATATCCTCACTATTGCTAGTGGAGTCCTCTTGTTTGCTATTTCCTGCGTATTTCTAGTTTGCAATATTGGTTTTATCTTATCTTTGACTACACTTGTTTCCCTACTGTGGCTCCTGTCCCCTATGGGGTCATTTATATGTATTCCTTCCTGCGTATAATTCCCGACTACCTGGACAAAATCTCCAGCTTCACCATTACTGTCTCCCAGGACAGCATCTCCAGCTTCCCCATTACTGTCTCCCAGGACAGCATCTCCAGCTTCACCATTACTGTCTCCCAGGACAGCACCTCCAGCTTCACCATTACTGTCTCCCAGGACAGCACCTCCAGCCCACCCAAGTAATTTTTCAGTCCTATGAAATCAGCCAAGTAGAAGTCAGGGAAAGAGACTTGATTGTCATTATTAGGGGAATTCCACGATATATTAAAACCGAGTGATTTGTGATCACTTTCCCCAAACTCATCATTAACCTCAAAATTATTAATTAGCATTTCCCTGCTGGCAAGAACCAAGTCAAGCAGGTTATTTCCTCTAGTTGGTTCTGTCACAAACTGTTTTAAAAAACAATCCTGAATCGTATCAAGAAAGTCACTTGACTCTAAATTTCCTGTCAAATTGCTCCAGTCAATCTGTCTATAGTTGAAATCTCCCATTATCACAACATTTTCGTATGTAGATGCCTTACGAATTTCATCCCATAGAAGTTTACCGCACTCCCTATCAAGATTTGGGGCCCTGTAAATCACACCCAACAGATTCAGTGGCTGACGCTTCTAATTTTATATCTTGTCAAATACAACAATTTAAATTGTCTCTGACATACATGGCTACTCCACCACCCTTCTTGTTGACCCTGTCAGTGTGGAATAATTTATAGCCTTGTATGTGACATTCAGAAGGCATTTCTCTTTCAGATTGAGCCAGGTCTCTGTTATAGCAATGATATCTATGTTACCTGCACTTGCAATTAATTTTAGCCCATCTATCTTATTTCTTACATTCCTGCTATTAGTATAGTAGACCTTAAGGGAGCTAGTCCCTTGCTGCCCTCTGCGGTCTCCCTTTGTTTGCTGACCTGATCTATTGTCTTTATTTATAACTTCATGATGAATGTCTTTTATACATTTACTGTTTTCAACCCTAGTGTTGGTGCAACCAGACTATATAATATATATATATATATATATATATATATATATATATATATAATATATATATATAAATATATAGATAGATAGATAGATAGATATATATATATATACCAACGCTCTTGTATGGGTGTGAGGTATGGGTTGCGAATGTTGCAACAAGGAGGAGGCTGGAGGTAGTGGAGATGTCATGTCTGAGGGCAATATGTGGTGTGACTATAATGCAGAGAATTCGTAGTTTGGAGATTAGGAGGAGGTGTGGGATTACCAAAACTATTATCCAGAGGGTTGAGGAGGGGTTAATGAGATGGTTTGGACATGTATGTAGAAGGGTGGAACGAAATAGAATGACTTCGAGAGTATACAAATCTGTAGTGGAAGGAAGGCGGGGTAGCAGTCGGCCTAGGAAAGGTTGGAGGGAGGGGGTAAAGGAGGTTTTGTGTGCAAGGGGCTTAGACTCCCAGCAAGCATGCATGAGTGTGTTAGACAGGAGCGAATGGAGACAAATGTTTTTTTTAGGACTTGATGTGCTGTTGGAGTGTAAAGAAGGTAACATTTATGAAGGGATTCAGGGAAACTGGTAGGTTGGACTTGAGTCCTGGAGATGGGAAGTACAGTGTCTGAACTCTGAAGGAGGGGTGTTAATGTTGCAGTTTTATAACTGTATTGCAAGCATGCCTCTGGCAAGACAGTGATGGAGTGAATGATGAAAGTTTTTCTTTTCCGGGCCACCCTGCCTTGGTGGGAAACGGCTCATGTGTTAATAAAAACATAAACTAATAAATATATATAAATAAAAAAATAAATAAATAAATAAATATTTTTTTTTTATTATCACACCGGCCGATTCCCACCAAGGCAGGGTGGCCCGAAAAAGAAAAACTTTCACCATCATTCACTCCATCACTGTCTTGCCAGAAGGGTGCTTTACACTACAGTTTTTAAACTGCAACATTAACACCCCTCCTTCAGAGTGCAGGCACTGTACTTCCCATCTCCAGGACTCAAGTCCGGCCTGCCGGTTTCCCTGAATCCCTTCATAAATGTTACTTTGCTCACACTCCAACAGCACGTCAAGTATTAAAAAACCATTTGTCTCCATTCACTCCTATCAAACACGCTCACACATGCCTGCTGGAAGTCCAAGCCCCTCGCACACAAAACCTCCTTTACCCCCTCCCTCCAACCCTTCCTAGGCCGACCCCTACCCCGCCTTCCTTCCACTACAGACTGATACACTCTTGAAGTCATTCTGTTTCGCTCCATTCTCTCTACATGTCCGAACCACCTCAACAACCCTTCCTCAGCCCTCTGGACAACAGTTTTGGTAATCCCGCACCTCCTCCTAACTTCCAAACTACGAATTCTCTGCATTATATTCACACCACACATTGCCCTCAGGCATGACATCTCCACTGCCTCCAGCCTTCTCCTCGCTGCAACATTCATCACCCACGCTTCACACCCATATAAGAGCGTTGGTAAAACTATACTCTCATACATTCCCCTCTTTGCCTCCAAGGACAAAGTTCTTTGTCTCCACAGACTCCTAAGTGCACCACTCACTCTTTTTCCCTCATCAATTCTATGATTCACCTCATCTTTCATAGACCCATCCGCTGACACGTCCACTCCCAAATATCTGAATACGTTCACCTCCTCCATACTCTCTCCCTCCAATCTGATATTCAATCTTTCATCACCTAATCTTTTTGTTATCCTCATAACCTTACTCTTTCCTGTATTCACCTTTAATTTTCTTCTTTTGCACACCCTACCAAATTCATCCACCAATCTCTGCAACTTCTCTTCAGAATCTCCCAAGAGCACAGTGTCATCAGCAAAGAGCAGCTGTGACAACTCCCACTTTGTGTGTGATTCTTTATCTTTTAACTCCACGCCTCTTGCCAAGACCCTCGCATTTACTTCTCTTACAACCCCATCTATAAATATATTAAACAACCACGGTGACATCACACATCCTTGTCTAAGGCCTACTTTTACTGGGAAAAAATTTCCCTCTTTCCTACATACTCTAACTTGAGCCTCACTATCCTCGTAAAAACTCTTCACTGCTTTCAGTAACCTACCTCCTACACCATACACTTGCAACATCTGCCACATTGCCCCCTATCCACCCTGTCATACGCCTTTCCAAATCCATAAATGCCACAAAGACCTCTTTAGCCTTATCTAAATACTGTTCACTTATATGTTTCACTGTAAACACCTGGTCCACACACCCCCTACCTTTCCTAAAGCCTCCTTGTTCATCTGCTATCCTATTCTCCGTCTTACTCTTAATTCTTTTCAATTATAACCTACCATACACTTTACCAGGTACACTCAACAGACTTATCCCCTATAATTTTTGCAATCTCTTTATCCCCTTTGCCTTATACAAAGGAACTATGCATGCTCTCTGCCAATCCCTAGGTACCTTACCCTCTTCCATACATTTATTAAATAATTGCACCAACCACTCCAAAACTATATCCCCACCTGCTTTTAACATTTCTATCTTTATCCCATCAATCCGGCTGCCTTACCCCCTTTCATTTTACCTACTGCCTCACGAACTTCCCCACACTCACAACTGGCTCTTCCTCACTCCTACAAGATGTTATTCCTCCTTGCCCTATACAACGAAATCACAGCTTCCCTATTTTCATCAACATTTAACAATTCCTCAAAATATTCCTTCCATCTTCCCAATACCTCTAACTAAATATTATATATATATATATATATATATATATATATATATATATATAAAATATATATATATATATATATATGTAATATAAATATATATATATATATATATATATATATATATATATATATATATATATATATATATATATATATATATATATATATATATATTATACATACATACAAACATACATACATGCAAAATATCCACAAAGGGAGTTTAATGATAGCTCTAGGCCTTTCGTATTGCAATGAACACGTCATCAGGAGGTTGCAATGATGCAGAAATAGAGAAGAAAATCCAGGCAGGCTCTTTCAGGGAAAAGACTCTGGATTCCCTGAACGAATCTACCTGAACTTCCTACTCTATTTCTGCAATATTGTAAACTCTTGATGATGTGTTGATTGCCCGAAATGCCCCGGCATGGTAGTGACTTTCTTTGTACTTAACAAACCAAAATTGTAATTACACATTGTAACCTTTACAAAGAAATAAACCTTTGTCTTTATCTTTATCCTAGAGCTATCATTTAACTCCCCTCTGTGGTTATTTTGTATATTTTTGATTGCTCATTATATATTATGATAAAGTTTGTCATGGTATGCGTGTCATCATCAGCTGACTGATGGCGGCAGAAGACCTCCAAGAGTTAAATCATTCTCAGGTTGTTATTCTTTACGCTGAGTTTATTTTCATTTATATATATATATATATATGTTTGGTTATGTGAATAATATATAATGGGATATATATGTATATCATTGCCAGAACACTGGGGAATATAGGTAAACATTACTGTATATAGTAAATTGTGACTACCTTCAGTTGGTATTTTTTAATCTATATCTTTTTCTGTTCACTCGTGGTTTGCCGTTAATAAACATTAATAGCAAATACAGCCAGTTTTATCATTTCTGATGAAAATGCAATTAATATGTTACTAGGATTTAATAAGTTCTCGAAAGATTTCGTAGTCAATTGTTCAGCATTAAGCTGGAGTGTTAGGAGATACCATAGTCACTAAGTTTATTTAGGTACATGTACACATAAGTACAATTATCATACATAGTTTAACATATGTGTAAATTATCTATTCTTGGATTCCAATGGAAATAAGTAATTTTGACTCTTTTTGGGTTATCGTGGAGAGTATTTTACTCACGAGACTAGGATAATTTGTGTAATTGTTTATGTATACCTGTTTCTATATAAACTTACTAAAGCGACTTATCATCACTTTAGTTAGTTTTTTAAGTTAACAGAATCTGTATGTGTAAGCAAATGTGTAGCAACATATTATGAGGTAAGTAATCAGAGGTCAAAACTGTCCCAAAATTTGTATTTGACTGGTGGTGTGAAAGAAATGGATTAATTAAACAGTCATTCAATCATTATATTTTGCATGGGATATATTAAATTTCCAGCATAAGTATTTTAGGTGCTTTATTCTATATAGTTTATTAAGTTTTTAATTATATCAATGTAATGTATATGTATTATGATAATTAACTGAATATCATACATGGGAGACTTTTATCAGATTCAAGAGAATTGTTGCAGATATTTGGTATTGAAAGGATGTAATGAAGAACATAAAGTAGTTTAAGATTTGTTTCTAACCTTCCTTTGATATTTACAGACTTTAAAAGCTGCAATACACTTCACAGTAGGACGAACATGTGAGGAGATTGCTGCTGAGCTCGGGTTGTCATTCACAAAGAATGTTATTGCCACACTCTCAGAAATTACTTCCAAGCAACTAGAGACATACTCGACTGATCTTGAAGCCTTTGCTAAGTTCGTTTCAATGGGATTCTTAAATAACTACAGTAAACCCTCAGTTTAACAGACTTAATTGGAGGGGAGAGGTTGGCCAGTAATGGCAGTTGTACTGCATACAGAAAAGATTGTTTTATTGTGATTGTATCAGTAAAGAATGATTCTCCAACCAAAGGACGAGGCCTGGTCATGGACTGGGCCATGGGGGGGCGTTGACTCCTGGAACTCCCTCCAGGTATACCCTTCAGAAAAAGGACTCTGTCCATTGTTTCAAAATCTATTGACCCAGGATTTTATTTTGTATTTTCAAAGTCCGTTAAATGGAAGGTTTACTGTATATTTATGTAATCTATCAGTTTTCAGAATAGTGTTAGAAGTGAAGAATCATGGACTTCATTATTTTTTTGTTGTTTCTTGCTTAAAATGCTAATGATTATTTACTTTTTATTTTCACATGTTGCCCTGTTAATAGTTTCACACTTAAGTGTATCATGAATAATGTTGCAAGGACTAATTAAGTCAGCTTAAATGTCAAGTGACTTTTGTCAGTCCAGAGACATTTACTATTTGTAGTGCTGAATGCATAATTGTGACAGTTCTAGATAACATGGGCTAAAACAGTCAATTGTTAGTATATTACTATACAGCGGACCTTTGGTCTTCATGATTAATCTGTTCCAGAGAGTCTGCCAAAAACCAGAATTCACAAAAACCGAAATAAGAAATAATGTAAATCCAATTAATCCGTTCCAGACACCCAAAAGTATTAATAAAAATATTTTTTTTAGAGATTAAATATAGATTTACGTACAGAAAAGAATGACAAATCAATATAAAGCAATAATGACATCACACTTACCTTATTGAAAACTCTTGTTGGTGTATGGAAGACGGAAGTCTTTATGGAAGGGAAATCCCCTTCCATAAAGACTTTAGGTACTGAGTCCTTATCCAGGGTTACTTCCCTTCTTTGTTTTTTAATGGCACTAGGACCAGCTTGACTCACTGGATCCCTGTCACTCAAAAAACTGTTCTGGAGAGCACTGTTTCTGGTGTCTCTTTAAGATTTGCTTAAAATGGGACAAGGCATTGTCATTGAACATGTCGCAGACATGGCCTACAACAGCTTTGTTAAGGTGATGTTCCTCCACAAATGTTTGCACCTCACTCCACTTTGTACAAATGTCCTTAATCTTTGAAGAAGGCACCTTCTTCCCTCTCTCTTCCTTCTGTGAAGCAATTTCCTCAGCTGTGGTCTGTTGCTGTTGCAAATGAGAAATTTCAATTACTCAGATATGGTAAACACGAGGAAATTAAATCTTCATCAGAGTACAAAACAAATTCTGGCCACAAAATAGAGCGAAACACCAACGTCAAAGACCTGGGAGTGATCATGTCGGAGGATCTCACCTTCAAGGACCATAACATTGCATCAATCGCATCTGCTAGAAAAATGACAGGATGGATAATGAGAACCTTCAAAACTAGGGAGGCCAAGCCCATGATGACACTCTTCAGGTCACTTGTTCTATCTAGGCTGGAATATTGCTGCACACTAACAGCACCTTTCAAGGCAGGTGAAATTGCTGACCTAGAAAATGTACAGAGAACCTTCACGGCGCGCATAACGGAGATAAAACACCTCAATTACTGGGAGTGCTTGAGGTTCCTAAACCTGTATTCCCTGGAACGCAGGCGGGAGAGATACATGATTATATACACCTGGAAAATCCTAGAGGGACTAGTACCGAACTTGCACACGAAAATCACTCACTACGAAAGCAAAAGACTTGGCAGACGATGCAACATCCCCCCAATGAAAAGCAGGGGTGTCACTAGCACATTAAGAGACCATACAATAAGTGTCAGGGGCCCGAGACTGTTCAACTGCCTCCCAGCATACATAAGGGGGATTACCAACAGACCCCTGGCAGTCTTCAAGCTGGCACTGGACAAGCACCTAAAGTCGGTTCCTGACCAGCCGGGCTGTGGCTCGTACGTTGGTTTGCGTGCAGCCAGCAGCAACAGCCTGGTTGATCAGGCTCTGATCCACCAGGAGGCCTGGTCACAGACTGGGCCGCGGGGGCGTTGACCCCCGCAACTCTCTCCAGGTAAACTCCAGGTTGCAGCTCTTCCATGGTTAGCTCTTCACTGTGGTCCTCCTCCAACTCTTCCACATCCTGACCACTTACATCCAACCCCATGGAATTCTCCAGTGCCACAGTACATTCCACAAGAGGTGTAGGGTCGACAGGGTCAGCCCCAAACCCTTCAAAATCCTTCTCTTGGATGCATTCTGGCCACAGTTTTTTCCAAGCAGAGTTCATCATCCTGGAAGTCACTCCCTGCCAAGCCTTATCTATAATGGTTATGCAGTTGAGGTTATTGAAGTGATCCTTCCAGAACTCTCTTAGGGTCAATTCAGTGTCTGAGGTCATGTCAAAGCACCTTTGAAACATTGCTTTGGCATAGAGTTTTTTGAAGTTTGAAATGATCTGCTGGTCCATGGGCTGGATGGGAGGAGTTAGGGGACAAGAACTTCGCTGTGATGAAACTAAACTCCTCCAACAATTGATCATCCAAGTCTGGAGGATGAACAGGAGCATTGTCTATTACCAGGAGGCTCTTGAGTGGCAGTTGATTATCCAGGAGGTATTTCTTCATACTTGGGCCAAACACTTCATTGAACCAATCGAGGAAAATTTACCTTGTGACCCATGCCTTATTGTTAGCCTTCCATATCACACACAATTTACTCTTGACGACACTGTTTTTCTTGAACACGCTGGGATTTTCAGAGTGATACACCAGTAAAGGCTTCACTTTGAAATCCCCACTAGCATTACCACAGAACAAGAGAGTTAGCTGTCTTTCATAGGGTTGTGTCCTGGCAGTGCCTTTTCCTCCTGTGTGATGTAGGTCCTCTTTGACATTTTCTTCCAAAGAGGCCTGTTTCGTCACAATTGAACATTTGTTGGGGGAAGAACCCTTCAGCCTCTATGTACCCCTTGAATTCATGCATGAATTTTATCTGCCGCATGTTTGTCTGAACTTGCAGCCTCACAATGCCTTACAACACTGTGTATGCCACTTAGCTTCTTGAAATTTTCGAACCAGCCTTTGCTGGCCTTAAATTCACTAACATCGGCACTCGTTCCAGGCATTTTCTTTACGAGATCGGCATGTAACTCTCTTGCATTTTCGCAAATTATCGACTGCACAACACTATCTCCTGCTAACTGTTTTTGGTTGAGCCACACAAACAACAATTTCTCCACATATCTGATTTCCTGTGAGCTCTGTGTCGTTAGCATATTTACCCCTTTCGCAACATCAGCTTCCTTGATTTCCTTTTTCTTCCCCACTTTGGAAGTGATCGTTGAATGAGGCTTCCTGTACATCTTGGCAAGCTCGGCCACTCATACACCAATTTCATGTTTTTCTATGATTTCTTTCTTTAATTCTATCAGGTGGCTTATTTAGCAGTTACAAACACAAAAAAATGGATTATTACGAAATGTTTCAAAAGAACAAGGGGGCTGATGCTCACTCGTCGAGAAACAATGCCAGACTGACTCTTGAATGCATCTGTGGGAGGCTTTGTGTGCATGGGGCCACTGGGACACGTACTGTATGACTACCAAAATTCAAGGGAAATCACAAAAACCATGGCTATATTTTGACAAAAGTTGCCGATAACCAAAATTCACGAAAACTGAGACTTGCGAAAACCAAGGGTCCATTGTATATTGATTGTTAATGCAGGACTTAACCATGGGTAAAGACTTACAGGCTGACACATAGTACATACTTGACGCAAGAATATAATAGAACATATGTTCTTTCATATCGAGATATTTAATCCATTTGCTTTTGTGGTTAGGACACTTCTGGAACACTTTCGAGAAAGACTGATGTAAAACTATTATGTTCTAGGGATTTGCTTGGCAAATATAAAAATGGGGTCTCAAACCAGCATTCAGTTCAGCTCTGGCTACTTGAGAAGACACATCAGAAGTGAAATGGCATCTAGAGGCTGCAATTATTCTCCAGAGACATTCTGCTACACATGCGGTCAATTCATTAAGACATGAGCAAAGAAGTTCTCTGTAACAATCTAAAAAAATGTGTGAAACTTATGAAGCATATTTTGGCATGTCAGTTGGGGACCAAGACAAGACCTGGGCAGCTCATGTTGCTTGTGAGCATTGTAAGAAAACATAAGAACATAACATAAGAAACGAGGAACACTGCAACAGGCCTATTGGCCCATACTTGGCAGGTCCATGTCAAAACCAACCCTCCAACAAAAATATTTGCCCAACCCACCCCCAGAGCTACCCAAGCAACAAGCCCCGACCAACGCCCCCTCTAATCAATGCGCAAGTCTCGCTCAAATCCATCCCCTCTCACTCCTAGAATACAGAAAGAAGGAACACTACAGCAAGCCAACCGGCCCACACCAGGCAGGTCCCCCTCAAATCCAGACCCACAAACTTTTACCTTCTACTCCATCCATGGAATAAGCATTGATAACCAGGGCACTATTAAAGAGGGTACCGAAGAAGCTGAGGTACCTGGTCCATCACCAGGGCACCAAGGGAACTGAAGCACCTGGTCCATCACCAGGGCACCGAGGGAACTGAAGCACCTGGTCCATCACCATGGCACCGAGGGAACTGAAGCACCTGGTCCATCACCAGGGCACCGAGGGAACTGAAACACCTGGTCCATCACCATGGCATCGAGGGAACTGAAGCACCTGGTCCATCACCAGGGCACTGAGGGAACTGAAACACCTGGTCCATCATCATGGTATTGATGGAACTGAAGCACCTAATCCATCACCAGAGCACCAAAGGAACTGAAGCAACTGGTCCATCACCATGGCACCGAGGGAACTGAAACACCTGGTCCATCACCATGACATTGAGGGAACTGAAGCACCTGGTCCATCATCATGGCATTGAGGGAACTGAAGCACCTGGTCCATCACCAGGGCACAGAGGGAACTGAAACACCTGGTCCATCACCAGGGCACCGAGGGAACTGAAGCACTTGGTCCATCACCAGGGCACCGAGGGAACTGAAGCACCTGGTCCATCACCAGGGCACTGAGGGAACTGAAACACCTGGTCCATCACCATGGCATCGAGGGAACTGAAGCACCTGGTCCATCATCAGGGCACCGAGGGAACTGAAGCACCTGGTCCATCACCAGGGCACCGAGGGAGCTGAAGCACCTGGTCCATCACCATGGCACCGAGGGAACTGAAGCACCTGGTCCATCACCAGGGCACCGAGGGAACTGAAACACCTGGTCCATCACCATGGCATCGAGGGAACTGAAGCACCTGGTCCATCACCAGGGCACTGAGGGAACTGAAACACCTGGTCCATCATCATGGTATTGATGGAACTGAAGCACCTAATCCATCACCAGAGCACCAAAGGAACTGAAGCAACTGGTCCATCACCATGGCACCGAGGGAACTGAAACACCTGGTCCATCACCATGACATTGAGGGAACTGAAGCACCTGGTCCATCATCATGGCATCGAGGGAACTGAAGCACCTGGTCCATCACCAGGGCACAGAGGGAACTGAAACACCTGGTCCATCACCAGGGCACCGAGGGAACTGAAGCACTTGGTCCATCACCAGGGCACCGAGGGAACTGAAGCACCTGGTCCATCACCAGGGCACTGAGGGAACTGAAACACCTGGTCCATCACCATGGCATCGAGGGAACTGAAGCACCTGGTCCATCATCAGGGCACCGAGGGAACTGAAGCACCTGGTCCATCACCAGGGCACCGAGGGAGCTGAAGCACCTGGTCCATCATCATGGCATCGAGGGAACTGAAGCACCTGGTCCATCACCAGGGCACCGAGGGAACTGAAACACCTGGTCCATCACCAGGGCACTGAGGGAACTGAAACACCTGGTCCATCACCATGGCATCGAGGGAACTGAAGCACCTGGTCCATCACCAGGGCACCGAGGGAACTGAAGCACCTGGTCCATCACCAGGGCACCGAGGGAACTGAAACACCTGGTCCATCACCAGGACACCGAGGGAACTGAAGCACCTGGTCCATCACCATGGCATCGAGGGAACTGAAGCACCTGGTCCATCACCATGGCAACGAGGGAACTGAAGCACCTAGTCCATCACCAGGGCACCGAGGGAACTGAAGCACCTGGTCCATCACCAGGGCACCGAGGGAACTGAAGCACCTGGTCCATCACCATGGCATCGAGGGAACTGAAGCACCTGGTCCATCACCAGGGCACCGAGGGAGCGGAAGCACCTGGTCCATCACCATGGCATCGAGGGAACTGAAGCACCTGGTCCATCACCAGGGCACCAAGGGAGCAGAAGCACCTGGTCTATCACCATGGCATCGAGGGAACTGAAGCACCTGGTCCATCACCAGGGCACCGAGGGAGCTGAAGCAGGAAGATCATTAGAAGGTAAGAAAGTCATTAGTTATATGAAGGGTAAAATCTTGAATAGGAACATTTTTTAAATGCAATGTATTCTACAGAAACTAATTCTTTTGTTCTTTTATGGGATGATATAGAAGAGAAAAAAGAACCATGAAGTTTGCTGTTCCTAGAATATGGTGTGAACCCACTGATCACTCAACCAACTGCTACTTCTACCTGGTGGATCCTTCCAAATGCCGAACTGGGAAAAATGCACCTGCTATTTCTTATCCAGACCTTCCCTCTTCTATTGCACCAGTATCACACAGTGCTGATCTTCCTGTACCTACACCATGAAGAAGTCAACCATCAGAAGAAGAAAGCAGTAAATCAGAAAATGAAGAACACAGTGAACAAGACTATGATCTTACAGATGCAGCTGTTGGGAGGAATCCTTACTACCCAAACCAAACTGACCTCAGTGACCTTATCAGAGATCTTGGTTTGACAAAGTTAAATGCTGAGCTTTTGATTTCAAGGGACAAGGAGTGGGAATTCGTGGATGAAAGTGTGCAAGTGACATGCCAAAGAAAATGTCATCAACATTTCTCAAGCTTCTTAGCTAATGAAGACAGGTTGTGCTACTGTAATGATGTATCAGGCCTGTTTGATGCAATTGGAATTGCATGCAGTCCAGTTGTGGATCTAATTTTTAGAAATTAAAATGCATGTTTCAGTAGGGACTAGGTTACTATATATAAACTATGACAAGTCATTATTATTATAATCAGAAAGAAGTGCTAAACCACAAGAATTATACAGTCATAGTAGATGAAAAGAGATTAATTTTTTTTTTTCATTTTCAGTCATGCACGTAGAGCAATCATCAGCACAGATGATGTGAAGCTTCTAGTTCGTCGAAATCCCAAACTGGTATAGTAAAATCTTCATGCACACTATGTTGATTTGTCTGTTTCTCCGTGTATTTATCAGTCAATGCCTCTGGGATAGTCTTTTAGTTACAATTGGATTGTTTTCCAAAGCTCAAAAGCACTTTAGTTAAATGGGCACATGTAGAACATTTTGAATATTATTATTTTTTTTTTTTTGTTATTATTAACACATTGGCTATTTGTCACCAAGGCAGGGTGGCCTGAAAAAGAAAAGCTTTCATCATTCACTTCATCACTGTCTTGCCAGAGGCATGCTTGCACTACAGTTATAAAACTGTAACATAAACACCCCGCTTTCAGAGTGCTGGCATTGTACTTCCCATCTCCAGGAATCAAGTCTGGCCTGCCGGTTTCCCTGAATCCCTTCATAAATGTTACCTTGCTTACACTCCAACAGCACGTCAAGTCCTAAAAACCATTTGTCTCCATTTGCTCCTGTCTAACATGCTCTCACATGCTTGCTGGAAGTCCAGCCCCATGCACACAAAACCTTTACCTCCTCCCTTCAACCTTTCCTAGGCCAACCCTTACCCCGCCTTCCCTCAACTACAGATTCATACACTCTCGAAGTCATTCTGTTGTATTCCACCCTCTCTACATGTCCAAACCATCTCAATAACCCCCCTTCTGAATGTTCGAAGCCCGCGAAAGTGGAAAACACGAATGTTGAGGGAGACCTGTATAAGAAATATCCTGTATGAGGATAGACACTTAGAGCCTTGAATCTCCACTCTCTGGAGAGACGTAGAATGAGGGGAGATATCATCGAAGTGTATAAGTGGATGATGGGCATAAACAAGGGTAATATTAGTAAAGTACTGAGGGTGTCGAACTAGGTAAGAACCAGAAATAATGAATTTAAGTTGGATAAATTTAGATTTAGAAAGGACATAGATAAGTACTGGTTTTCAAACAAAAGTTGTGGATGCGTGGAACAATCTTCCGAGTAGGGTGATTGAGGCTAGGACCCTGGGTAGCTTTAAAAAGAGATTGAACAAATATATGAGTGGGAGGAGCTGATTGGTGTCATTGAGTACAAGAGTAAATTCTTAGGTAGCTTTGGGTAGGGGTCATTTTGATAAAGACCTGCCTTACACAAATAACCCGCACATAAAAGAGAGAGGCTTACGACCTTGATTTTCCTCATTTGAAAGCATTAAAAAAACATAGATCTACGTTTGGAGCCCCCTGCTTGTGGACGCAGATCTACGTTTGGACAGTTTAAGGGTTAAAGGAGGGTTTTGGAATATTGGCAGTTTGGAGGGACATCTAAGCTGTTGTATCTGAGTGCCTCTGCAAAGACAGTGATTATGTATGAGTGATGGTGAAAGTGTTGAATGATGATGAAAGTTTTTTTTTCTTCCTTTTTTGGGTCACCCTGCCTTGGTGGGAAATGGCTGATGTGTTAAAAAAAGAATTATTTTATCCCTCTTGCAGGCTGAGCATATTAAAGAAATGGCAGATAACTTGGCACAAGCTGGAGGAAAGGAATGCAAGAAACGAGGTCAAAAACGTAAAAGTGCTGCTCATCCTGCAGAAGCCTCCGAGAAAAGCAGCCCTTAAATATTTTGTACATATTGTTCATTAATATTTTGAAGCTAAATATTTACACCTCTCTCATTTGTGATGACTAATATTCTCTTTAAGTGTGAAGTGACTATTGTCTTAATTCTTGTCAGTGATGTGACCACAGCAAAGAAATTGTCCCATGATAATGATACATAAGCCTATTTTGGCTATATATGTACAGTAATTTGTTACTATATATGTACAGTAATTTGTTACTATATATGTATCTGTAATATTAATAATCTAGATATGATATAGTTCTTTGTATTAAACTGTGGCAATTATCCAATAATTAAATAATAATTACAAAGTCCTCTGCTGTGCTTAGTGCTGTAATGTCATTAATATAATAGTTTAATCTAAGAACTTTTTTGTTCAAAGATCGAGTCCCATACCCCAAGGAGTTTGGATACCCCCTGTTAAGGATCCCTGATATAAATGATATATAATACCAGTAAGTGGATAAGACACATGTGCAACATTAGGAACCTTTATTGGCAAAAGGTTTTGCCTGCGCTGCAGTCTTTAGCAGTCGAATACAGGGATGAGTTACACTCTTGGAGAGCTCAGCTTTGGTGGGAGACGAAGAAGGTGAAGTGGAGAGGTAGTTTGATGTAATCAGTCCATCAGCCTTGGTGCTGAGAGTCTGATTATCTTGCACCAGGGGTAATGTATTACATTAAGTTACCTCTCAACTTTACCTTTGTCTCTCAACAAAGCTGATCTCTCCAAGAGTATTTGACTGATGAAGCCAGTAGTGCAGGCAAAACCTTTCATCAATAAAGATTTGTAATGTTGCACCTGTGTCTTACCCTTCCATGTCTAAACTCCAGGCTCTTAACCCTTTGACTGTCACAAGCCCCTTTCTGAAACTGTCCCTCTGTCGCAAAATTTTTGGAAGAAAAAAATTATTTTTTCATATGAAATGATGGAGAATCTTTTCCCGATGGTAATGACACCAAAAGTATGAAATTTGGTAAAAAACTCGCAGAATTACGCTCCCGCGAAGTTATTGATCTTAGCGATATATACGCATTGGCGATTTTGACGACTTTGAGCCCTATTTTCGGCCAATTCTGTTGTTCCAGTCGACCAAACTCAGCTATTTCTTTAGAACTCCATTTTTTCTATCAGTTGAGTACAAGAAACTGCCCATTTACCGATTTGAACTACCCAATAAAGTGGTCAGAAATTGGCAATTTGGCCAATTTCATGCAAATTAAAAAAGATACCAATTTCAAAATAGGGTCCAGAATAAACAATGTAGACATTCTTGGCAATAAAATAACATATCCTCTGTTCATTAGTCATGTCTCTAGGCCCCCTCTTATATTACTCTTGCTTTCTATTTTGATTTTTATTCACACAAAAAATAGATTTACTGTTATGCTGACTACTGCATTATTGTAAAAATGATATAAATAATATCAGTGCACTAGTGAAAGAATATTAGACTCTCAAGTTGACGTGTATTGGACGTGTGGTGTGATTTGCTTACTCCTGAACATTGGTAAAAATCGAACATTTCCGCTACTTTGAGCTCAATTTCAAGATCGTTTTCATTGTGAAACTATTCAAAATCGTCTCTATTTCTGTAATATGTATTCCATTCTATCAAATGAGACCAAGAAAACGAGAATACAACCATAAATACTATAGGAAAATACATCACAAAGTCGGCGTCTTAATTCAAAAACACGGTTGGAGCTTTTTTTCTCTCATTATGCAATGCTTGCTGCAGGATTTTTTTTATACAGGGCACACTGACCACACAGACCCATTCTCTCACATGTGGGCCTACCAGCTATCTCCTGCTTGATTTGAAGCCGCTAGAATTATTGAGTAGATATACCTCTGAAACACTGGCTCCTAAGACGTATATATACGACCGAAACCGTCAAAGGGTTAATAAACAGCAGCTAGCGCAGTTTTAGAGATGGTGAATCCTGTTTTGCTCATCTGCATTCTTTGACAAGGTATGGAAATTTAGGCAACAGAGGGATGGGTGCACTGTACATTTTTGGACAGCAAGAATTTTGATATTTGGGCTTATTTAAACATTTAGCTACTTTTGAATTAATTTCACTACTTTTGAAATAATTTCGCTGCTTTTTTATTCTAATTTTATCACGTAAGTATACATACATTGTGAAACATTTTTTTTTTTTTCAACAAGTTGGCTGTCTCCCACCGAGGCAGGGTGACCCAAAAAAGAAAGAAAATCCCCAAAAAGAAAATGCTTTCATCATCATTCAACACTTTCACCACACTCGCACATAATCACTGTTTTTGCAGAGGTGCTCAGAATACAACAGTTTAGAAGCATATACGTATAAAGATACACAACATATCCCTCCAAACTGCCAATATCCCAAACCCCTCCTTTAAAGTGCAGGCATTGTACTTCCCATTTCCAGGACTCAAGTCCGACTATATGAAAATAACCGGTTTCCCTGAATCCTTTCACTAAATATTACCCTGCTCACACTCCAACAGATCGTCAGGTCCCAAGTACCATTTGTCTCCATTCACTCCTATCTAACACGCTCACGCACGCTTGCTGGAAGTCCAAGCCCCTTGCCCACAAAACCTCCTTTACCCCCTCTCTCCAACCCTTTCGAGGACGACCCCTACCTCGCCTTCTTTCCTCTATAGATTTATATGCTTTCCATGTCATTCTACTTTGATCCATTCTCTAAATGACCAAACCACCTCAACAACCCCTCTTCTGAAAGTTAAGACACATGTGCAACATCTGGATATCTTTATTGTAGTAGACGTTTCGCCATCCAGTGGCTTTATCAATACAGATTCTAGGACATAATAGGAAGACAGTAGAACTATATACAAAAGATGAGGTAATCAGTCCCTCGGCCTTGGAGCAGTGTTCACGCATGTGGGGAGGAAGTCTGGGCAAAGGCAAGAAGCTGGCGTTTTTTATGGGAGTGAAGGGGACGGGAGCAGACGAGGTCAGTCACTGGTAGGGGGGTTCCCCAGTGGAGTAGGTCCTTCCCAAAGAGATGGGTTAGTTGCACAGCCGTGAAGAAGGTCTTGTAATGTCTCTGAACAAGATTCCATGATGTTGCAGTGTCTGACAAGTTGTGCAAGAAAGGTATAAAATCCCGACAATATAAAAGTTAAGACACATGTGCAACATCTGGAATCTTTTATTGTAGTGACGTTTCGCCATCCAGTGGCTTTTTCAATACAGATTCTGGGACATAATAGGAAGACAGTAGAACTTATACAAAAGATGGGGTAATCAGCCCCTCGGCCTTGGAGTCGTGTTCACAGCATCGTGGTGGAGGAGAGTTGGAGCAAAGGCAAGAAGACGGGCTTTTTATAGGCGTCAGTAAATGGGAGGGCAGCAGGGGCAGTCACGGGTAGGGGGTTTCCCCCAGTGGAAGTAGGCCTTCCAAAGAGGGGGTTAGTTGCAGCACCCGTAAAGAAGGCTTTAGATTCTTAACAAGATTCCAATGTTGCATTCTAAAAAATTTAAAAAAAAATTTAAAAAATACCCAATATAAATTAAACACATTTTCAACATTATTCTTTATTTTTTAACTTTCCCATCATTTTTTTTCTTTTTTTAAAATTCTAACATAATAAAACTAAACTAATCAAAAAAAAAACCCCCCCCAAAAAAACACCCAAACCAAAAAAAACCCAACCCAAACCCAAATATAATTAAATTTCCCAAATTATCCTAAAAAATTTTTTAGCACCCGTGAAGAAGGTCTTGTAGATGTCCTTGAACCAAGTTTCCCATGATGTTGCAGTGCTGACAAGTTGTGCAAGAAAGGTATAAAATACCGACAATATGAATTTAAGACAATGTGAAACTTGGATATCTTTTTTTGTAGTAGCGTTTCGCCATCCGGGGTTTTATCAATACAGATTCTAGGACTATAGGAAGACAGTAGAATTTTAACAAAAGATGAGGTAATCAGCCCCTGGGCCTTGGAGTCAGTGTTCACAGATCGTGGTGGGGGGAGTCTGGGCAAAGGCAAAAAGACGGCGTTTTTATAGGCGTAGTGAAGGGGAGGGGCAGAGACGGGTCAGCCCTGGTGGGGCGGGATTCCCAGTGGAAGTAGGTTTTCCCCAAAGAGATGGGTTATTTGCAGCAGGTGAAGAAGGTCTTGTAGATGCCCTCTGAACCAAGTTTTATGATGTTGCAGTTCGAAAGTTGTGCAAAAAAGGATAAAATCCCGACAATATGAAATTTAAAGACACATGTGCAACATTGGATATCTTTTTGTAGTGGGACGTTTCGCCATCCGGGGCTTTATCAATACATTTTTAGGACTAATAGGAAAAAGTAAAACTATATACAAAAGAGAGGTAATGGGGGTCCCCGGCCTTGGAGTCAGGTTACGATCGTGGTGGAGGGGGTTTGGGAGCAAAGGCAAAAAAGACTGGGCTTTTTATGGCGTCAGTGAATGGGCGGCAGCAGACGAGGTCGGGTCAGGTAGGGGGGATTCCCAGTGGAAAGGTCCTTCCAAAGAGAGGGGTTAGTTGCGCAGCCGTGAAGAAGGTCTTGGATGTCCTCTGAAAAGATTCCATGATGTTGCAGTGTCGACAAGTTGTGCAAAAAAAGGTATAAAAACCGACAATATGAAAGTTAAGCACAGTGCAACATTGGATATTTTTTGTAGTAGACGTTTCGCCATCAGTGGCTTTATAAATACAGATTCTAGGAATAATAGGAAGAAGAGAACTATATAAAAAGATGAGGAAATCAGCCCCTGGCCTTTGGAGTCAGTGTTCACAGATCGTGGTGGAGGAGAGTTGGAGCAAAGGCAAGAAGATGGCGCTTTTTATAGGCGTCAGTGAATGGGAGGGCAGCAGACGAGGTCAGTCACTGGTGGCGGGTTCCCATGGAAGTAGGTCCTTCCCCAAAAGGAGGGTTAGTTGCAGCAGCCGTGAAGAAGGTCTTGTAGATGCCCTCTGAACCAAGATTCCATGATGTTGCAGTGTTGACAAGTTGTGCAAAGAAAGGTATAAAATCCCAAAAATTGAAATTTAAAGACAATGTGCAACATCTGGAATTTTATTGTGTAGAGTTTCCCCATCCAGTGGCTTTATCAATTTACAGATTCTGGACAAAAATAGGAAGACAGTAAAACTATATAAAAAAAGATGGGAAATCAGTCCCTCGGCCTTGGAGCAGTGTTCACAGATCGTGGGGAGGAGAGTCTGGAAAAAAGGCAAAAAGAGGCGTTTTTTATAGGGTAGTGAATGGGACGGGAGCGACGAGGTCAGCCCCTGGTAGGGGGGATTCCCAGGGGAAAGTAGGTCTTCCCAAAGAGATGGGTTAGTTGCAGCACCCGTAAAGAAGGTCTTGTAGTGCCCTTAAACCCCAAGATTCCTGATGTTGCAGTGTTGACAAGTTTGCAAAGAAAAGGTATAAAATACCGACAATATGAAAGTTAAGACACATGTGCAACATTGGATATCTTTATTGTAGTAGACGTTTCGCCATCCAGTGGCTTTATCAATACTGACTCAGGCAAGGGACGTGATTACCTCATCTTTGTATATAGTTCTACTGTCTTCTATTATGTTCCTAGATCTGTTGGTAAAGCATGGATGGCGAACGTCTACTACAATAAAGATATCCAGATGATGCAATGTGTCTTAACTTCATATTGTCGGTATTTATCCTCTTTGCAAACTTGTCAGTCACTTGCACATCATGGAGATCTTGGTTCAGAGGACATCTACAAGACCTTCTTCACGGTGCTGCAACTAACCCATCTTTGGAAGACCATACTTCCACTGGGGAATCCCGCCTTCAGTGACTGACCGTCTGCTGCCCGTCCCTATTCACTGACGCCTATAAAAAGCGCCAGTTTCTTGCCTTTGCTCCAGAGCTCTCCTCCACCAGATGCTGTGAACACTGGACTCCAAGGCCGAGGGACTGATTACCTCATCTTTTGTATATGTTCTACTGTCTTCCTATTATGTCCTAGAATCTGTATTGATAAAGCCAATGGATGGCAGAAAACGTTTTCTACTTACAATAAAGATATCCAGCTGTTGCAATGTGTCTTAATTTCATATTGTCGGTATTTTATACCTTTCTTTGCCCACAACTTGTCAGCACACTGAACATCATGGAATCTTGGTTCAGAGGACATCCTACAAGACCTTCTTCATGCTGCATGAC